TGGTATAGTAGCCCGCTGCTCTATCCCCTTTGCTTTTCTGCCATTCCTCTATATGTGTCGGCACACTTTGAATGGGATGACCTAATACTTGTCTCGTTAATGGGTAAACGAAGAAAAAGATTTGAAAAAAGATCCTACTGCGCCATTTCCTCAGATATTTTATCTTTCCTCTCCATGTACTCTTTTCGTAATGTCCTAGCGTTCTCCGGTTCCTAAACTGTGAGTTAAATTATGAATCAAGGGGAAATGGACATCATATCTACCATCTGCAACACTTACTTCCTTAAGACGTGTGAGGGCGGCCATGGCTTCATAGTTAAGCTTTCTCAAAACATCGATCAGAACGCTTAGCGGTGGGTGGTCAACCGATGCCAAGACCTGTATTCTCCTGAAAAATGTCGATTATTCTGCATCTCTGGTAATTTGGAAGCTGTAAACCTGTGAAAGGCTTCGGCAAGATTAGTCGTCCTCAACTCCTCAACTCTCCACTTGCACCACAGATCTTTGAACGGCCCACTCAGCCAGGTGGTTTCCAAATAATTAAGGAAATCTTGGCATCTGTCATGCAAGTCGCCACTCGGCACTGGTGGACCGCGTAGTGCTCGTACTTCAGGCCACAGATCTTGCGGGAGGAATACCATTCCTGCAGATATGTATGTACTATTAATTTGCACACAATGAACAAAAAAATTCACGCTACCTTTTAGCGTTTCCCACCAGTTGACCACGCGTTCATCCTTTTCTGCGCCTTTCAGGTACTCTGGAGCCCCAAATGGTTTCTTTTGCGGTTCCACGCTTGCGCCAGGTGGAAGGCACATCCTTCAACAGTCGCATTTGGGAATACCTTATTGGCCGCATGGATGGCAGCTTTTTCGAAATCAAGCACTATGCGCCTGGGTGTTTCACCTAGCAGACTCCTCTTCAGGTGCTCGAATACTCTCTTGTACCCGCGACGAGTTTTCTTTTCCATTATGCAGAACATCAGTGGTACGTCAAGGTCTTGGTTGCAGACACCATGCACGCAGTACAGCTGCGCATAGCGCCCCAAGGTCTTCGGCTGCAAGCTGTGAGACCCGTCGGCCACAGTGCCATAAAGCCCATTCTCGCGCGCCATCTGAAAAAGTGTTATAAGCTTTAATTGGAATGCTATGTTTACTGTAGGTACCTGGATGGTTCCGGTGGAGTAATAAATGTGGAACCCCGGTTCGTCCAGTTGCAGAAACGGAGAGCCATCATGGAGCTTGCGGAACTCCTCCGGCACATTTTCCATCGTAACTGAGCGATTCACCCATTTTCTCAGGCTCTTAACTATTGCTGGTTTTCGAGAATTGTAGCCCGATCTACGAATGTTTGCTCTGATGGAGTCCTCCATTTCCGCTGTAATAGTAATGTGAAACTAGGAAGCAACACTGCGAAATATCACAGATAGACTACCGTTGTCCGCTTCTCGACGTTGGGCCACGAGATCGAAAAATACCTGCACTGGCTTTATTGCAGCGTATTTGGAGTCCTCCCTAACATGTTTCAGCTCCTGAAAAGCATCTTCAGTCTCTTCTTGAACTGCCTTGAAGATGGCTACACTTCACCTCGTAGACGGCTCTGTCTCCTCTCTCTCTGACATACTTTTCTGGTCGGCATTCATGGTCCAGTCTGCACGGATCCGTCAGAAACTCGTCACCGATTACCTGACAAGTAATTGTCGGATACATTCACGAAATCCAGCTGATTTGCTCTCACTTTTATTGTATCTCTTAGGACATCTTCACCATGTCTTCTGCTTTCCTTCCTGCACTGTACGCAACGGTAGACCTCCACGTTTTTATTCGCACGCTTCCTCGCAAAAGTGTACGCAAATTGCGTGCCTGGAATCCTATAGATTAGGACACTGTGCTTCCCTTGTTTGCTTACCTGTCGCTCTCCTTTGAACCGTTGCTGCGACGGTTCTTCTCTCTGAAAACTTCCTTCTGCCGGAGAAGCCGGGACAGGATCACGGGCGGGGACTACGTAACCTGAAAGTTGTGGTGTGGGGGGATATGTGCGGTAGAATCTGATCCACGTAATACGAGGGTGCTGGTGTAGCGGCGGAATAAGATGTTGCTTCCTGACCGACGAAGTAGGATGTTCCCGGTGCTGGAGTAACGCAGTAT